ATGACATTACCTATTGGCCATGTGGTGAGGAATTCTGTTTTCTTGATGTTTAAATGTAATCCATATTGAAGGCTGCAGTCCTTGATCATCTGCAGCAAGGATTTCAAGCTCTCCTCACTTTCAGGAAGCAAGGTTGTGTTATTTGCATACTGTAGGTTGTTAATGAGTCTTCCTCTGCTTTTGATGCCACATTTATCTTCATAAACTCCAGCATCTCTAATGATTTGTTCAATATACTGAGAGGACATGTATGAAGAAAGGATACAACCCTACTGCATATCTTTCTTAATTTTACATCAGTGTCCAGGGTGGCATTTGGTCTGTCTGTCAGTTGGTATCCCATCAGTCCCTGGAGCCTGACTCTTGGCTAACGCCTTCAGTGCCACTTGAACTTCCTCCTTTATTAACATAAAGACTCTTTATCATGTGCTACTTCCCAAGGTAGTTCCATGTCACACAGTTGTTTTTGATACAGTGATTCTGTGTATTCCCCATCGACCTGAATGGCTCCTGGATCATTCAAGATTTTGCCCATAGCATCTCTGTTTTGCACGTCACAGCTTGAATCTGTTTTTCAGTGCTTTCAGCTTGAGAAATGCCAGGAGTTCCTCTTTTTTTATTCTCCAACTCTAGCTGTTTGGCTCATTCCATTATAATACTTTGTTTTCTCAAGCTGCCCTTTGAAATCGTCTGTTCAACTCTTTTACTTCAGCATTACCCCCCCCCCTTGGTTTGGTTCCTCGATGCTCCAGTGTCATTTTCAGAGACTCTTCTGACATCCATTTTGGTCTTTTCTTTCTCCTCTGCTAATGTAATAACCTTTTGCTCCCTTCATGATCTTTTTTTAATGTCTTCCCACAATTCATCTGCCCTTCAATCATTATTGTTCAATTCCTCAAATCTGTTCTTGAGATGGTTTTTAAATTCAGGTGGGATTGACTCAAGGTCATATTTTGGTTTTTATGGACTTCATTTTCTTCAGTTTCAATTTGAACTTCCACGTGATAATTGATGGTCTGTTCCACTGTCAGCACTTGGCCTGTTTTTGACTACTGATAGTGAGCTTCTCTAGCAATTCTTTCCACAGATGTAGTACAGTCCTTCAGGTGAGGTCTGTGTGTATAGTGACTATTTGTGTTTTTCAAAAAGGTGTATGTAATGAATAAATTATTGGTCATGCATAATTCAAATAAATATTTAATCTCCAGCCTCATTTCTGTCATCTAGTCCATACTTTCTGACCACCAGCCTTCTTCATTTCCTACTTTTGCATTCCAGTCACTAATTATTACTCATGCATATTGACTGCATATTTGAGTCATCTCAAATTGCAAACATTGGTAAAATTTCTCTGTTTCTTCCTTTGTGGCTTTAGTTATTGGTGGTATATCTGAATAACAGTAGTATTAGCAGGTCTTCCTTGTATGTGTATGGATAGTATCCTATCATTCGCAGCCCTGTACTTCAGGATGGTCCTTCTGATTATGAATGCAGCACTTGTTTTTGAGTACCAAAGAGTTAGAACTGACCCATAGCTGGCCCTCCTGTGTCTTTTCAGAGTCATTTAACTGCACAGCAGGAGACTGCCCATCCTTCTCCCGCAGTGCGGCTGGTGGCCTTGAACCACATGCCTTTGGGACTGTACCTCAGCTTCTTGCCTCTAGGCCAATAGAGCTCCCTGGAATGCAACCCTGTTCTTCCTAAATTTTTCATTCTCAAAATAACAGATCACATGATTGCCTCATTCACTGTGGCCAACATCAATCATGTAACCTCTCTAATGCCTGGAATATTGCTCTTGTTGTTGTTGTTGTTGTTATGTGCCATCGAGTCGCTTGCAACTCATAGCAACCGTATGTACAAGAGCTCTAAATGCTGTTCTATCCTGTGCCAACCTAGCCATCTCAAACGTACTTATTCCCAACGCTCCAGTCACAGAATCGATCCATCTCACCAAAGGTCTTCCTCTCCTTTGCTTCCCCTCCACTCTGCCAAACATGATGTCCCTCTCCAAGGACCAGTCCCTCCTTGCAACATGCCCAAAATATGTCAGACAAAGCTTCAGAATCTTTTACTCCAAAGAGCCTTCCAGCTTCACCCTCTCCAGGACAAACCTGTTTGTTCTCTAGGCAGTCCATGGTATATTCATCACTCTTCTCCAGCACCACAGCTCAAAGGCATCAATTCTCTTTCTATCAACCCTATTCACTGTCCAACTCTCCGATGCATAGCACGTAATTGCGAAGACTATAGCCTGGATCAGGCGCACCTTAGTCTCCAGTCTGACGTCGTTGCACTTCAGTACTCTTGAGAGGTCCCTCACAGCCGACTTTCCCAATGCAATTCGTCTCTTTATTTCCTGGCTGCTGTTACCGAGTGTTGATTGTGGAGCCAAGTAAACTAAAACTGTTAACTATCTCAATCTCTTCACCATCCATACTGATGCTGCCAATTGGCCCAGTAGTGAGAATCTTTGTTTTCTTAATGTTGAGCTTCAGTCCATATAGGAGGCTGCAGTCCTTGACCTTCTGCAGCAAGTGCATCAGGTCCTCCTCAGTTTCAGCAAACAGGGTGTGTCATCTGCATAACGCAGGTTGTTGATGATTCTTCCACCAATCCTGATGCCACATTCCTCTTCATATAGCCCAGCGTCTTGGATGATCTGTTCTGCATACAGATTGAAAAGGTATGGAGACAGAATACATCCCTGATGGACCCCCTTCTTGATTTTGAACCATGTAGTGTCTCCTTGCTCTGTTCTGACAACTGCCTCTTGGTCCAAGTATAGGTTTCGCATTAGCACAATCAAATGTTCTGGAATTCCCATTTTTCTCAGAGTCAGCCACAGCTTGTTGTGATCCACATAGTCAAAAGCCTTTGCATAGTGAAGCACAGATAGACATTCTTCTGGTATTCTTTGCTTTCTGCCAAGATCCATCTAACATTAGCTATAATATCCCTAGTACCACGACCTCTTCTAAATCCAGCCTGCACATCTGGCAGTTCTCTGTTGACATATCGTTCCAAACGTTTTTGGATAATTTTCAGCAGAATCTTGCTTGCATGTGATATTAATGATACTGTTCAATAATATTGCTGTACAGGTGTTCTATATAATTTTTTACAATTTCTAGTTTCCTTAGTTTCATACTTCATACATTGCATGTACCAATTATTGTTGGCTGTTTCTCCTCATTTTGTGTGACTTCCAATCGGGCATCTACTTCCAGCTCTATATCTAGCAGTGTTTGGTGATACTAAAGCTGCTTGTTTGTGGCCTCCCCTTTTGAACAGAAAGACTATAAGTGTGATTCCCAGGCACCAGCATATCAGGAACTTGATTTAAAAAGCAAATATGAATTTTCAGACCCCATAAGGTATCTAGGGCTTACAACTAGGTAAGATTCTTACTAACCTAAAGTTTGAAGGTTGAAATCCCCCCAGATGCATTTCAGATCTGCTCTGATAGGCATGAGATGATCAGAATTTGAAAATCAACTCAACAGTGACTGGTTTTTGTTGTTGTTGTTAATATTTGGCTTTTAAATCCAAGACACCAGGTTAGGCCCCACCACTTTGTTTTACAACAGTCCTTCCAGATGATTAAGATGCTTGCTGTAATTCTCTAAATCACTAGTTTCAAACATAGTTTCACGTAACAATCACATGTGAAGGTCTCAGGAACACTAGAATCTCAGTACCAGTGATTCTCATCTGTTATGTTCCATGGACTGGGCATTGAATCCTCCCATGTGACTCTGGTGGCATAGTGGTAAGGAGTTGCACTGTCATTCCAAAGTTTTGTGGTTCGAATCCACCAGCTGCTCCACAGGGGGGAAAACCCAAAATGAACACTCTCCACCAATGTGATTTACAGTCTCTGACAAACTGCTAGAGGGTCAGCTATGGGTTGGTTCCACCTTGATGGTGCACAAGACAAGTGGTGATTCTAGTAGACCCTGAACTTTGAGAGAATCATTAAACAACTTGATAAAGCTGGTGCTTTAACTTTTGTAGTCTTTATATTCACGCTGGCCCTAAGGAAGTGTATTAAAAACAAAAACACTGAATAAAAAGGGAGCTTTGGCGGTGTAATCTGTTGGGAGTTGTGAGATCCATAGGCGTGGTACCGTAAGGGCAGTTCGACTCTGCTAGCAGCTCCGCTGGAGAAAGGTGGGTAGTTTGCTCCAGTGCCATAGGCAGCCTCCGAAGTCCTGAAGGAAAGGTATGTTGTTGTTGAGTACCCTTGAGTCAAAACAGACCCATAGCAAAACCTCCAGCGGATTTTCAGAGGCAATAAATTGCACAGGATATATGCCCCTCTTTTTTCTGCGGAGAGGCTGGTGGATTCGAACCCGAAGCATATGCATTGGCAGCAGGATTTCTTACACAGATAAAGGGAAAAGTAAAGGGGATAGAGTGATGGTTAGGTTAACTTCCCGAAACTCAAATTCCCTACAGAAACTGGAAGATGGTGCCGTTGTTGCATGTTATCAAGTCAGAACTGACTCAGAGCTAATCCTCCAGTGGGCTTTTAGAGGCTGTGAAGCGCATGGGAGGAGACAGTCCACACCTCTCCTGCAGGGCAGCTGGTGGATTCGAATCACGAGCCTTTGGAGTGCAGCGCATCTTCTTATCGGTATAAAAGACTTAGGGACGTGGAATCTGCAGCCAGATTTCATCCGTGGCAGGTCCAGTCGGGTTTTGAGAGCTCGTCCTCGGTCCTCGGACCGCAGGTCCCTGTCGCGGGCTGGGTCGGTCCTGCTTGGGGGGACCCTAGCACCGAGCGCACCCTCTCTGCAGCGCAGAGCAGCGTCTGCGGGCCCGCCGCGGAGCGCGCATGCGCCAGGCCCGTCCCGGAGCGCGGCGCCGGCTAACGGCCTCGGGCTCCCCCCACCGGAAGTGGGCGGCTTCGCGGCTGCAGCGTGGCGACCTCGGGCTCCGGGGGTCCCGCCGCCTGGTTCCTCGCCGCCCGCGCCATGGCGACCCCGATCCCCCTCCTCGCGGTGCGGCTGGTCCTCGGCGCCGTGTGGCTGCTCGGCGTGGCCTCCGCGTCCAAGGAGGTGACGGCGCACTTGGCCGCCAAGTGGCCGGAGACTCCGCTGCTGCTGGAGGCGAGGTGGGTGTGGGCCGGGCCGGGGCGCGCGGACCCTGCTCGCCGGTGGTGGTGGGGGGCAGCCCTTGACCCCGATCCTTGCATCCTCGCCGGCCGCCCTCGGCCAGCATCACCTCGTGTCCTCTTGGTGGTGGACTGGCCAGTGTTGGCGCGACAACTTTCCCCCTAACTTTGTACCGAGCAGCGTGCTCACCAAGCTCTGCACACTTCGGTGCGCTTGTTTTATTTGGTTCGTTTTTATTAGTTTGTGCAAGAAGCGGGCCTGGGTGCAAGGGAGGGTGTGTGACTTGGCACTTGGACTGATGCTCTGCACTTCAGGCACTTCAGGTTGGGGAGATGTAACCTAACACCCTGAAACTGACACTGTCTGTGAGCGGTTTGGCTTTGGGGTCCGAGGTCAGTGTGTCCGCCGCTGTCCACCGAGGTCCCAGCCTGCGCGCCCCGCTCGGCCCTGGGTTCTCCGCCGCCACCTCCCCACCTTGCTCTGCGTGCGAGGGAGGACGCCTGGTTTCATGAAGATAGTCTTCTCTTTGTTACTGGATTTGCTGAGGGAGACTGCAGTGCCCCAGATTATTTTCTAAATATTTCACAGTGCTCTGGATTCACAAAATATTTGATTTGCAGGGACGAATCTTGAGGCTTTTGAATTTTGCCTTCTAGTTTGGGGATGGGGGTGCTCTAGTTGTCTGGTAACCTAGATATAAGGAGCTGTGCTACCAACCGAAAGGCATGTGGTTCGAATCCACCAGCTGCTCCCTGGGAGGAGGATGAGCCATCTCCTCCCATGTGGTTTACAGCCTCTGAAATCCTGCTGGAGGGTCAGCTGTGGGTCGGTTCTGACTCGACGGTGCACAAGAAGAAGAAGTTTTCTGGTGGGTAAGGAGCTGCTCTGCCCGCACAAAAACAGGTGGTTCAAAACCACCAGCTGCTGCTTGGGAGACAGAGACAATCTCTTCCCGGCGATTTGTAGAGTCTCTGAAAATCCACTGGAGGGTCAGCCCCGAGTGGGTTCCGATTAGATAGTAAAGAGCTTTTTGGAGTTTGAGTATGTTAGTAGTTAAACAGAATTGGAGAAGGTTTTCTGTTAGTCGTAATGAGTGTCTTTGGCTGAGTTCTCTAGAGCAGCAAAGCCAATAAAGCTTGTGAAGGTTGAAGCCGGAATGCTCTTTGGAGTCAAGGATTCTGAAGCTTCGTCTGACAAACTTTTGGGCATGTTGCAAGGAGGGACTGGTCCTTGGAGAGGGACATCATGTTTGGGAGAGTGGAGGGACGGCTCAGTAGAGGAAGACCCTCGATGAGATGGATCGAGTCTGTGAGTGGAGTGGTGGGAATGAGTGTGTTTGAGGCAGCGAGGTTGGCACAGGATAGAACAGCGTTTAGGGCTCTTGTACATAGGGTCGATATGAGTCGCAAGTGACTCGATGGCACATAACAACACAACAACAACACAGTTTAAAACCAGTTTGGAAGCCAGGTGGCATCCACTTCCTAAACCACATGCCTATAGAAACTCCGTGAACTTGGAGAAAAGATAGATATAGAAAGACTTCAGGTCTTTTGTTCATAAAGTCACTATGAGTCGTTCTGGACTTAACAGCAATCAGCAACAATCTCTATATAAAGGGAGCTCTGGTGGCTTAGTGGTATGAAATTGTACTGCCAATGCAGAGTTACTTGGTTTGAATCCACCAGCTGTGATTTACTGCCTATGAAAACCCACCAGAGAGCCAGCTGTGGGTCGATTCTGACTCAGTGGCAAACACCAACGAGTCCAAATCATCTGCAGCCAAGCAGAGTCTCAGAGTGCTGGCTTTGGAGCGTGCTGGCTTCCAAGACCAACATATCCAAAGACACTTAACACGTAAGCTGCTAATCAAAAGATCAGGACATTGACAGCAGGTTTTCCCAATGCAGCACATCTTTTGAGAACGTGACGTCCGCTGGCATGGGAGCCCGCATGCTGCTCTGTGAGAGAAAGATTAAATCATCTGCTTCCATAAAGATAATACAGATAAGACAGTAGTTCTTGTCCTCAGGGAACCCTTGGGTTGGAATCAGCTGGGTGGTAGAGTTTGTGGTGGGTTCAATGGTGATGTAATGGTGATGCAGTCAGTGCATCTCATTAAGTGTTGTCCCCTCTCTGCTGACCTGCTGCCTTCTCCACCATGATGTTTTTATCACAGGATGACTATAACAGTGGACTTGAGCATGGCAGAGATCATGAGGACGGGATGGGAATAGGGAACAGGTTCTGATCTGTTGATCACAGGACTCCTGTCAGTCATAGTCACCTCTGTGGGACCTAGCCCCCAGTGGGTCCACTTGTGAGGATTTTTGTTTTCTCGATATTGAAGTGTGTGTTGTTGAATCCATATTGAAGGCTGTGTTGTTTACCATTGAGCCAAAGCTGACTCATAGCTGACCCACCAGCGAGTTTTCAGAGGCAGTAAATTGTACAAGAGGAGATTGCCCATCCTTCTGCGGGGAGCTGGTGGAGTCAAAGCGTGTGTCTCTAGGTTGGTAGCACAGCTCCTTTTAGGTCACCAAAGGTCCCCTGATAATTTTTTAGTAACTGCTTTAAAGTGTCTTCCATTTTTGCAACAAAGATTGTGTCATCTGCATGTCATTGAGTTGAATCTGGCTCAGAGTAACATGATGAACAACAGATCGGAACCCTGTCCGGTCCTACACCATCCTTATTATCTCCGACACACTCAAGCCCGTTGCTGCAGTCACTGTGCCAGTCTGTTTCTTTGAGAGTCTTCTCTTTAGCTGGCCCTCCACCTCTCCAAGCGTGTTGTCTATTTACAAGGCATAGCCTCTCCTCGCAGCATGCCCCAAATCTATGAGGTGAAGCTTTGTCGTCCTTATCTTTAAGGAACACTCTGGATCCATCTTCTCCAAGACATACCTGTTTGTTCTTTTGTCAGTGCATAGGCTATTCAGCATTCTTTTACAACACCACAACTCAGAGGCATACGTTTTACTGTCAACTCCCTCCCTGTCCAGCTCCCACATCCATAGCAAGTGATTGAAAAGATCATGGCCTGAATCAGGCGCACCTTAGTCTGTAAACTGACATCATTGGATAGTAAGCCCAAAACGTGGACATTCATTTCCAGTCAGAGATGCCTCAGGAGAGCAGTCCTTGAAATCCCTGTGGGAGTCAGTTCTATCTGATACACATGTGGTGGCCATGAGTGGGAATTTATTCAAAGACACCTGGCATATTTTTGGGGATCACATTCAGTTTAGTATTTTCCTGCCATCTCCTCAGCTTTTAAAACAGCCTCTTCCTCTCACTTAGCTATTTCTTTTACCATTTAGTTGAATAATATTAGTAGCAATGGTGATTTTGAAGTTATATTTTGCATATAAAAGTGACCCAAATACCCAACCACAATTGAATGGATTGAGAAATTGTGATGCATTCACTTGATGGAATACTATGAGAAATTACAATACATTCACACGATGGAATACTACACAGGAGCAATGATTTTGTAAATTACTACCTAACTTGGGAAGGATTGGAGAGCGTTATGCTGAGTGAACTAACTCAGTCCCATAAGGACAAATACTGCGTAAAACCATTATTGTAGAATGAGTATGAGGAGCCTAGAGGGAGGTCAGGGGCAGAGGGGTCAGGCTGGGCAGGGGTTGGGGTATAGGGACATGGTTAATCATACGGTCACACAATTTGATGGGTGGATGGAGGGGACGGAAAAGGAAATGGGAGAGATCTGGTGTGAAAAACAGTGTATATGAAGTGTGTAAGTAAACCAATATAAAAGAAAAGTCTTATCTTTTAAAATAAAAACTAAGGAAGAAGGAAGACTGGAAAAAATATCTTTCTTTATACAAAACATAAAAATATATTACTTTTGTCCAGAATAAGTTATTTGAAATAGGAAAAAATCTTTGTTTCCATTCATCTTTATATAATGCTCTGTATTACCATTGAAGAATTATTCTCAGTGGTGTCTCACATGGAAATCTGTCTTTTAGTTGTTGATGATGAGAAAGGAAGCTCTGATGCCGTAGGGTGGGGAGTTGTGCTGCTTGCCCAGAGGCAGGTGTTTGAAATCCAGCTGAGAGAAGGATGGACAGTCTCCTCCTGTGATAGTTACAGCCTCTGAAAACCTGCTGGACGGTCAGCTGTCCATTCTGATTCCATGTAACATAACAATGATGAGAAAGAGCTAAAAGCAGAATCATATGTGCTCTTCCTGATAGGATTCTAGGCTTGCAGTTTAAATAATTGAAGAAAGAATTTGCTCTCAGTTTACCTTACGTTGTGGGGGTGATGGTATGCCGTTGAGTCCGAACCGACCCCGAGCTGACCCTGCAGTATAGATTTTCAGAGGCAGTGCATTGTATGGGGGAAATAGCCCATCCTTATCGTGTGGAGCTGCTGGTGGATTTGAACTGCGCGCCTTTAGGATTGCAGCACAGCTTCTTGCCACGTGAAAATTAATAGTCTGACATTTGTTTTTGAAAGTTCCTGTTGTTACCATAGGTTATACTTTAAAGTCAAGTTTATAGTATCTAACCCATTTTTCATTTCCATCTATTGACTGGTTTCCATTTTTTTTTTTAACAGCGAATTTATGGCAGAAGAAAGTAATGAGAAATTTTGGCAGTTTTTGGAAACTGTGAAAGAATTAACAATTTATAAACATGCAGGTAAGTGATGTGCATGTTTTAAATGTTAATATATGTATTTATGTGCACACATTGGATATGTTTATTTTGACTGGTAATGATTATGAAAACTTAAGTTTTAATAACTGTAAACATTGCACCTGAAAACATGTTTTATGTAGTTATTTATTTCCCCAAATATAAGACATTTTGTTTGTTTGTTTGTTTGTTTTTT